CCTACTGTAATACCTTTAACTTGTTCATCTTTTCTAATCATACTTAGCAAGACCTCCAGAACTGAGATAAACAGCAGAGGGGACAGTGGACACCCTTGCCTGGTTCCCTTCTCAATTCTAATTTCCTCTGAAACTACATTATTTACAATAATTTTAGCTTTTTGTTCTTGATAGATCGCTTTAATACCATTTATAAAATCATGACCTATCCCCATACTCTCTAAGTTATGTAACATAAAACTCCAAGAAACATTGTCAAAGGCTTTCTCAGCATCGATAAACATTAACATTGCTTTACAACTCTTTCTTGCTTCTAACTTTTCCAAAATATCCACATTTCTAATATTGTCTTTCATATGTCTTCCAGGCAGAAATCCTGCCTGGTCTTTATGAATATACTCAGATACAACCTTTTTTAGCCTATTAGCCAGTATATTTGCAAAAATTTTATAATCCACATTAAGTAGGGAGATTGGTCTGTAGTTTTTAACGTTGGATCTATCCTGACCCTGTTTAGGAATCAGAATAATGTAAGCTTGTTTCCAGGTTTCAGGTGCTCATGAGAGCAAGAATTTTAAAAACCAAGCACCACACAGGGCAAAGCTCAGTGTGAACTTGTTTAGCAATGCTTCCAAAAAAAGAATGTTTTCTTTGATGTCAGCTGCTTGCTTGGGTGTCAAAAAGGAAATGAGACAAGGGGAGGTAGAGGCAGGGGGCTGGGCTGTGGAAGTGTTTTCATTCTATATTCTGGCTTCTGCCCCCCCCCCCGAAACAAAGAGATCTCCTGGGGAAGAGCACAGAACAAAGAGAAACACACAGTCAAATGTTTAATTCATACCCAAGATCATCGGAAGACACCTACGTATTGGTAAAGGCCTTTGAATCAAAATAAGCTATGTTGGTGATACTCATATGTGCCTTCCCTGCTCCTGCCAACCTAGCAGTTCGAAAGCACGTCAAAGTGCAAGTAGATAAATAGGTACTGCTCTGGCAGGAAGGTAAACGGCGTTTCCGTGCGCTGCTCTGGTTCACCAGAAGCGGCTTAGTCATGCTGGCCACATGACCCGGAAGCTGTACGCCGGCTCTCTTGGCCAATAAAGCGAGATGAGCGCCACAACCCCAGAGTCAGTCACAACTGGACCTAACGGTCAGGGGTCCCTTTACCTTTAGTTATATCTGAGCACTGAGGCTGGGCCAGTGGGTTATAATCAGGCCTTTTTTTCAGCCAGAACTCACTGGAGCTCAATTCTGGCACCTCTCAGGTGGGCGCCATTGCCATAATAAGAGAACAAGGGAGTCGTTTATGGTGAGTTTCAGCACCTCTTTTTCTAGAAATGTAGCATTGGTTATACCTTGTTTGGGATGAGATGATCTTTTAGCTGTTCTGTTTGGCTGATGAATGTTGGACTGACTATTTGAAGCTGCTTTTGCCAAGAAAGCTCATTAAGATGTAGGGCAAGGTGGTGGTGGTGGGGACAGGGAGAAAAGAAAACCACTTTATACATTTGGAAGACATTTATTAGTACTACAGTGGTACCTTGGGTTAAGTACTTAATTACCGTATTTTTCGCTCTATAAGACGCACCAGACCATAAGACGCACCTAGTTTTTGGAGGAGGAAAACAAGAAAAAAAATATTCTGAATCTCAGAAGCCAGAACAGCAAGAGGGATCACTGTTCTGGCTTCTGGGATAGCTGCGCAGCCTGCATTCGCTCCATAAGACGCACACACATTTCCCCTTACTTTTTAGGAGGGAAAAAGTGAGTCTTATAGAGCAAAAAATACAGTAGTTCCGGAGGTCTGTTCTTAACCTGAAACTGTTCTTAACCTGAAGCACCACTTTAGCTAATGAGGCCTCCCGCTGCCACTGTGCCACCGGAGCACAATTTCTGTTCTCATCCTGAAGCAAAGTTCTTAACCTGAAGCACTATTTCTGGGTTAGCGGAGTCTGTAACCTGAAGCGTACGTAACCTGAAGTGTATGTAACCCGAGGTACCACTGTACTAAATTACCTGGTGGGAAGGGAGACATAAAACACAGCAAATTGTTTCAGTTTGAGATGAAATTTGCAAAAAAATGCCTCAAAGCTCTAAATTTCTGCAGACCTGCAATTTAAAAATAAAAATAAAATTGCAGATGGTTTTGGTAAGTATTTTTTTCCGTGCTGCTTTAGGGCATATTAGTAGCTTCCTGACTAATGAGTCATTGCAGTTCAGTTAAATCATAGTGGGCTGTAAAATTGTAAGGGATCCATCACTTTTTATAGCACTCTGGTTCTTTAAATAAAAAACAAGAGCAGGCCAGAAATTATATTTCTCTGCTCTTACCTTTGGATAGCCCTGTGCCCCAACTTCAGTGAAACACTTAAATTGAGTAAGAAGATCTGTGGAAAGTTAGCAATGAGAGAGAGAGAGAGCTGTTAGGATTTTCCAGCTCCAAACACACTATACACACTATACACACCATAGATTTAAAGAACATTTAACCACCCACAAAGAATCCTGGGAACTGTAGTTTTTAAGGGTGCTGGGAATTGTAGCTATGTGAAGCATAAGGAATTTTTTTGGGGGGGGGGAGTGCTTAAATTTATTATATATACAGTATGCTAAGCACGCAACTGCTGTAAATTATGGTAGAATAGTTTAGCTCTCTCCTCCATAGCTAACACTCCTGCTTTTTCCAAACTGGTATTCCCCAGCTGTTTTGGACCATAAGTTCTCTAAGCACCACCCATTGTGCAGCTATACAAAAGAATAAATGAGCACAAATCTGGCATCAATAATGGCAGTGGTGAAAGACAAGTGGGAAAACATTTTAACCTCCTGGAACACTCTACAAGCACACTTATACTACTTGCAACAGTCATGGATAATCCTGGGAACTGTAGTTTGCTAAGGGTGCTGGGAATTGTAGCTCTCTGAGCTAGGCACCCTTAACAAACTGCAGTTCCCAGGATTGGGGAAGCCATGATTCCCACCCCACCCACCCACCCCCTACTTTCAAAGACTCCCCCATTCTTTCAAGTGAATGTTAACAACTTTAATATTCCAGTTACCTTTCTAAAAACAATAATTTTAGATGCTGCTGTTTCAACTGCCAACTTGCTGATCTTGTTTTTAATGTTTTATTGCTCGCTGTTTTGCTGTGAGCTGCCTTGCAATGGGTTTGCTCTAAAAGGCAGGGTATGAATACTACATTGAGTGCACAAACCTATACATGTGTACTCAGGAGTAAGTAAATCCCATTGAGTTTGGGGATTTACTCCCAGGTAAGTGGGTGTAGGATTGCACCCTAAATAAAGAAACAATCTTTTTAAAATGTCCAGATATGAACTATAGCTGCTCATATGTATAAAAACACACCTGATACTTAATACACTCCCTTAACTGAGAGCAGCTGCCTAAGAATACATCAAAGCCCTCCCTCAAAATAACACCTGGGTCAAATAGTTTTTTATTCCTAATTGTCCAGCGAAAGTTTATAACTCTGGCGGTTATAGTGGAGGGTGGCAGAGGGCAGGTGAAATAAAGGGGTGCATTTAATTGCATGACACCAAATAGAAATCCAATCTAACACCCTCACTCTCTCCCTGATGGTCTTATGAACTTGTTGCTTACTGAAATGAATTGAAAGTCAGCCCCAGCAAACTCTTGTTTTCACTCTTGGTGGGTGGAGGCGGGGGGAGGAAAGGAATCCATAAGTGTTGCAAACAATTTGTTTCAGTTCCTGCCCGAGTCCAATGCCAATTTGCAAGACATAGTACAAATGAATCCTGAACCTTCAGCACAGACATTAAAACTCTTATGCAAGGCGTAATCCTCTCACTGACTCCTTTATTCGCTGATTTTAAGGTCTGTGGCACAGCAACCAGTCTCAGTTTGCACATGCATGTGTGTGTTTTAAAGAAAGAAGTAAGATTCTATCTGCCAGGTAATTTTCTCATTGACACCTGAGGTTGTCTTTGTGAAGAAAGTCTGGTACCTGGCCGATTAGCAACAACAGAGAAGTGCTTCTGGGTACTAATATTTTGTTGCAGCTTCTGAGTCTCTTGCTGTCTTCATCTACTGCCAACTAAATCACTGCCCTTAAGTCGTCTGCCGAGGCAAAGGATAATCATGTTAAATTTACACTGCACAGCCGCAGTTTAATTAGACACCGTTATACAACTCACATTAACCATCCTGTAAATGCCCTTTACGAAATAGGGATTGTTTTTGGAGGGGTTACTCTTTGTTCTTTTCTCTCTCTTTTTGACATCACAAAAGGAAATTAAAGCCATAAATCTCATAAAAAGGAGGACTAGAGCTCTTAACAAAAAACAAAAAACACCAAGACTGTGTTGACTTTAAAAAATGCTCCTGCATGTGGTCACTTTGCAACAGAAGCAGAGAAAACAAACATGATGTGAAGAAATAAGATGTTCTGCAAATAAAAAACTGCAAAATGTTTTATAAAAAAGGTATTTCCTGGTTACCAAAGCATGTAACAGTAACATATAATAATATGATCCAGCCAAAGTTGAGCATTTTGAAGTCCAAAGGATATTGAAGAGAGACTTAAGACACAAAACTGATGCCAGGTGACCAGGGCAGGACGTTTTTGCAAAAAGGAAGCATGTTGGATTCCACCCCACCCCCCTTGGGGTATTGATGTGGCACAAATGACTTACCTGATGCGTCTGGCCAAGTGAGCTAGTAACTCTGTAGGCTTGCAAAGCTGCATGAAGCACATACTTAAATATCTTACATTTAAATCAATGGGACTTTGAAGGACCGAACTCCCTCATTCAAAAACCTTCAGGAGTGGTAAGATAGGGAGGGAACAAGGGATAAAAATCATTTCATAATAAATGGCTGGCCAGGTACCTAAGAGATGCAGCTGAAGCAATGCAAGTTAATTTGGATAATTAATCCTTTGCAATTTAGCAAATGAAAAACAAGCTAATACGGAGGCATCTCCTCCACACTCCCCCGGATTTCTTGTATGTGCTTGTTGGGTAGGACCATAGCTCAGTGGTAGAGCAGCTGGCCTCTTCATGCAGAAGGTGTCAGGTTCAAGCCCTGGAGACCTCCAGTGGGGATGGTCAAAGGTCCTGCCTGAAAACCTGAAGAGCTTCTGCCAGTACTACTTTTGTCCAAGACAGATTTCTATGTTCCTAGTGTTCACTTTCCCCTCATTTCGGTCTCCTAGAGAGCTTGCATGAGGGTTGCCTTAATGCTTTTCTCGTCTTTGCTGCCTTTCAGAAAGCAAATAGCCAGTGTAGAATTTGCAGGCCAGGCTGCTCACTGGGGCAAGAATGTTTGAGCATGTTACACTGATCCTGGCCCAACTGCACTGGCTGCCCATCAGTTTCTGGGCCCAATTCAATGTGCTGGTTTTAACCTGTAAAGCCTTAAACGGTTTAGGCAGGGGTCAGCAAACTTTTTCAGCAGGGGGCCGGTCCACTGTCCCTCAGACCTTGTGGGGGCCGGACTATATTTTTTTTGGGGGGGGTGAACAAATTCCTATGCCCAACAAATAACCCAGAGATGCATTTTAAATAAAAGGACACATTCTACTCATGTAAAAACACCAGGCAGGCCCCACAAATAACCCAGAGATGCATTTTAAATAAAAGGACACATTCTACTCATGTAAAAACACACTGATTCCTGGACCGTCCACAGGCTGGATTGAGAAGGCAATCGGGTCGGATCCGGCCCCCGGGCCTTAGTTTGTCTACCCATGGGTTTAGGACTGCCTTACCTCAAGGACTGCCTCTCCCCATATGAACTGATCAAAACCTAGTGATCACAATCTGAGGCCTTTCTTCAAGACCTTCCAAGTGTCCCGATTTTCCAGGGACAGTCCCAGATTTACATAAGCTATTCCTGTTTCTGATTTGATCCAGGAATTTGATCCCACTTTTCCTTAGGACATCCCTATTTTCATCAGAGAAATGTTGGAGGGTGTGGAATTATCTGACCCCTGAGCCATCTGAAGGCAGCCCTGCATAGGGAAGTTTTTTTAAAAAATGTTTATTATGTTTTTATATATGTTAGAAGCCTCCCAGAGTGGCTGGGGCAACCCAGTCAGATAGGAGGGGTATTATTATTATTATTATTAATACAGTGGTGCCCCGCAAGACGAATGCCTCGCAAGACGAAAAACTCGCTAGTCGAAAGAGTTTCCCGTTTTTTGAGTCGTTCCGCAAGACGAATTTCCCTATGGGCTTGCTTCGCAAGACGAAACGTCTTGCGAGTTCTTGCGAGTTTGTTTCCTTTTTCTTAAAGCCGCTAAGCCGCTAAGCCGTTAATAGCCGCTAAGCCTCTAAGCCGTTAATAGCCGCTAAGCCGCTAAGCCACTAATAGCCGTGCTTCGCAAGACGAAAAAACCGCAAGACGAAGAGACTCGCGGAACGGATTAATTTCGTCTTGCGAGGCACCACTGTAATAATAAATAGGACATCCCTATTTTCATCAGAGAAATGTTGGAAGATAAGCTCCTCCACAAGAGGTCTGGAAGGTGGCAGCACAAGATCGGGCCTTTTCTGTAGTGGCTCCAAATTTGTGGAATGCTCTCCCCAAGGAGATTAACCTTGTGCCTTCATTACAGTGGTGCCCCGCAAGACGAATGCCTCGCAAGACGAAAAACTCGCTAGACGAAAGAGTTTTCCGTTTTTTGAGTCGTTCCGCAAGACGAATTTCCCTATGGGCTTGCTTCGCAAGACGAAACATCTTGCGAGTTCTTGCGAGTTTGTTTCCTTTTTCTTAAAGCCGCTAAGCCGCTAAGCCGCTAATAGCTGCTAAGCCGCTAATAGCCGTGCTTTGCAAGACGAAAAAACCGCAAGACGAAGAGACTCGCGGAACGGATTAATTTCGTCTTGCGAGGCACCACTGTACGTATAATTAGGCACCAGGCAAAAATGTTTCTCTGTAACCTGGCCCTGGGCTGATTAAACAATCTATAGCCTTTAAAATGTGTTTGTAGGAGGGGGTTATTGGTTTTGCTTTGGTTTTTGTTTATTATGTATTTTGTATTCTCATTGGCGAATTAATAATAATAATAATAATAATAATAATAATAATAATAATAATTTTTATTTATACCCCGCCCTCCCCAGCCAAGGCCAGGCTCAGGGCGGCTTACAAGCAATAATAAAAACAAGTTGAATGATTACAACTTAAAAACAAAATTAAAATACAACATTAAAATAATGAAACATTAAAATATTAAAATGTAGCCTCATCGCAGGAGGAGAAGGAAAAGAAAAAAGAAAAAAGAAAGAGGGAGGGAGGGAATCAAATTGGCTCCAAGCCAAAGGCCAGGCGGAACAACTCTGTTTTACAGGCCCTGCGGAAAGAAATCAGATCCTGCAGGGCCCTGGTCTCCACCAGGCCGGAGCAAGTGCTGAAAAGGCCCTGGCTCTGGTTGAAGCTAATCTAACTTCCTTTGGGCCCGGGACCTCTAGGGTGTTGCTATTTATGGACCTTGAGGCACTCCGTGGGGCATACCGGGAGAGGCGGTCCCATAGGTACGAGGGTCCTAGGCCGTGAAGGGCTTTAAAGGTCAAAACCAGCACCTTAAATCTGACCCTGTACTCCACCAGGAGCCAGTGCAGCTGGAAAAGCACTGGGTGAATATGCTCCCATGGCAGAGACCCCGTGAGGAGCCTCGCTGCAGCATTCTGCACCCCCTGGAGTTTCTGGGACAGCTTCAAGGGCAGCCCCACGTAGAGAGAATTACAGTAGTCAAGCCTGGAGGTGACCGTCGCATGGATCACTGTGGCCAGGTCAGGGCGGGAAAAGTAAGGGAAAGGTAAAGGTAAAGGTAAAGGTAAAGGTAAAGGTAATGGTAAGGGTAAAGGTAAGGGAAAGGTAATATTATTATAAAATAATAATAATATAATTAGTTTATTGTGATATGAAGCAATCTTGTGAGCTTCATTCACAGAAAAAAGAGCATATTCAAAGCTCTTTGGCAAGCCAAAAAAAGAAGCAGGCTGAGCTAGTTTCCTTCTTGCTCAAGAGACAGCTTCATGACGTGCACAGATTGCAGGTCACTGTGCCTTTGCAAATTGTCAGGAAAGTGGATTGGAAAAGGTTGTCGTGACCTGCCAATCAAATCTGTAGCTTGCATCACTCCTGTGTCTACTTTGGAAGGTTCACATCACAACCCAGAAGGGGACAAAGCAAATATAGCCAAACAAATATAGTTTATACGGACTATATTCCTCACCCTGCTTCTTTATGGGAGTGGATAGCATACTGACATGCTATGTCCTTTTAAAATGTGGGTTTGGGTTTTTGTGTGGTGGTGGGGGTTATTCGGTTGTTGTTTTTATTTTGATTATGTATTTTGTGGTTTTATATTTTGATTTTATTCTGTGAACCATCCTGAGGCCTCCAGGTATAGGGTGGTATATAAAGGAATAATAATAATAATAATAATAATATCCCCTTCAAAGCCATCCTGAAAATTAAGCATCACAGAACTGAGTAGGGTGTTGGGGAAGGGCTGTAACAGGTGCACTTCTCTTGGAGCAAGGTTGATTTCCCCCTCCCTCTTAAATTTAAAATAAATTTTAAAAAGACTGTGTGGGTGGTAGATTGCTGCAATTGACGAGCACTTTTATAGCCTCTGCAACCAAAACCATATGCAGCCTTTTAATCATTTGTATCCTCACCATCCCTTTGTGAAAACAAAAGAACCTTACCTTTTATTTGCACTCGTTTGCCTTTGCAGCCATGGGCTGACACACGCAACCGGGAGGCAATATAGCATAATAATTATATTGCAACATTTCTCCTCTCTGTGCCCAGAGATTGTTGTTTTATACAGCATTGTGCTGGAAAATAATTGCTGGTTTCCTATTGCTCTCATCGCCACCCGCCACCCTGCTCCATAGCAACTTAAATTCGCAATCAGAATCACTGGGCATTTTCAGGGTGAGCTCATGATGAGATAAGATGTGGGTGATAGTGACACATCAGACATGGAACCAATGCACATCACCTTCAGTACAACCCGCTGGTGCATTTGCCATTGGTTGCATGGGAATACTAAAACTTTTTCATGCCTTATTTTCCTCCGGGAGGGTGGAATGTTGGTTGGCAAGACCCTTCTGTGCATCTCTCCCCCTTCAGAGCACAGACAGGTGAAAGGGCCTTTTCTGCTGGGGACCCATGACATGGAACTCCCTGCTGCAGGAGATTCACATGCACACTTTGCTCTGATGGCTTTAAAAGAGGATGGAACAAGTTCACAGAAGATAAGGTTATATCAGTGGCTACTGAGCCTGATGGCTAGGTTCTACTTGAAGAGGCAGTGTGAATACCAGTGGCTGCTGGAAACCACAGGTGAGAACCCTTTTGTGCTCTGCTCCTGCTTTTGGGTTTCCCACACGCATCTGGTTGGCCACTGTGAGATGCTGGACTAGGTAGACCACATTTCCAGGTAAGGTCTAAAAGAAGGCAAGGCTGATTCCTCCTGGACTTCTACTGGTAGGTAGATGCACAGGGCAGGGCCTTCCACACTAAAGACGGACCAAACATGAGGGTATGGGGAGCCACCAGAAGTGCCCCATCAGAGAATCTTAGTGATCAAGGCAGAGTATCAGGAATCAAATGGACCTTAAGGTCCTTTGGGCCAAAGTTGTTTAGGGCTTTGTGAATTAACACAAGAACCCTCATTTTGGCTAAGGGGCCAAGTGTAGCCCTCCCAGTCTACTAGTTTACACCCCTCACCAACCTTGCTTCTCACCTGCTCTTGAGCATTTCTGCCCCTCTGGAACGTGCCTTTGAACTTGTATAATGCCTCTTGCCTGCCTGAATGAAGCACAGAGAGGGGTGGGTGAGTGTGTGCAGACACTAGCCTACTGTACAATGGTAGAGCTAATATTCTGTGCTCCACCCGCTTTGCCCCTGCACCCTCAGAAGGTGGCCCTTGGGTTGAGAAAGGCTCACCATCCCTGTGACAGGAGTGAGCCAGCAGTAAATCACACTGAGCAACCTGGAGTTAACTCTTTATTAGCAAAACAGGATCTGCACAGCAACTCAGGTCTTGCCCCTATGAAGCAATTGGTCCCTGCCTCC